CTGACATTCATGCAGGCAACATCATGTTGAGGCCGCAGCCCGCGTGCTACGTCCTCATCGACTACGCTGGCTGCTCCGGTGACACTGTCTATCCACTGCGGCTAGGGTACGGTGCCATTGGCTTTGGGGGCTCGCTACACAGGCCACCTCATCACGAAGCGGCTGCCCATCCCATTCGCACGGCCTATGGCGACTTCTACCGCCAAGCATGCCGGCCGAGCCCAAGAAACCGGTCCTGGCCCCGACGGTGGATTTCTGCGAAGATGGACATCGTATTACAGCACCTACCCGAGCACACCTGGGTGACTGGGCGGCCCCTGAACGCCCGACCGGGGCATGGGCTCTACGCTTTGCAGCGGCGGTGCTGCACGATGTGGCAGAGAGCTTGGAAACCGACAAAGGTCAACAGACCCCGTCGGCTGATGCCGAAATATCTGAGCAGGAGATTACAGCGACTGCGGCAGTAGCAAGCAACAAGACTTTGACCCCGGAGCTCCAGTCGCAGCTTGGATGAGCTCTCCCACTCAGGTGGCATTGCCAAACAGCCCGGCAGGATCACTTGGCCGGAGGCATTGCCTATCCTAGAGATGGGCAGAAGTGCGACTGCATGGCCACCGCCTGTTGCTGACCTAAAGCTTCAGCCGAGGTGCTTGAGGCGTTTTTTTCATTTAAGCACAGTTCAGCAGCATCCCACTTGCCGCAAAGAAGGGGTTGCGTGCTACACTGAGGACTCACTCGGAGAGTTTGCTGACTAAGCGCTTGCTCTGCTTGCCGACTTTTTATGTTAAGGTTAGTTTCAGAGAGCGAAGCCATGGATCGCCGGGGCAACACGAAGCGCCGCCTTGAAGAGCCCGAGCGCCCGCCTGCTCCGCGCTCTCTGCTCGGCCACAGCGACCTCGTGCAAGCTCGGCTACAGATTTACCGCGAAGGGCCGAGCCTGGGTCGCCTCGTTTTCTTTGAGCTTCCGGAACTCTTCCTCAATGCCCGCACTGCAGGCTACTTGCTAGGGGGTATTGCGTGGGGCGACAGACGCTGCCTGGCGCAAACTAGCCATGAAGTCCACAGACGCACCCTGCGCTACTGGGATCTGTCAGCACGCGACCGGCAAGTCGTCCTGGCCAATATCCGACCTTGGTGACCTCGCCTACACGATGTGATTGCGGCGGGAGGCATTGCCTGGCCGCTGGTTTCGCGGTTTCCACTACTAGCGGCCGGAGGCACTGCCTGCAAATGCCAGAAAGATGGCACTTGGTCTACCTGACTCGAGGCCCTGTTAATCAAGGGCGTTTGTCGGACTGACACTTGCAACGAAAACGAGCGGCCTGAGCGTAGCTGACACACCATGCCCTGCTTGCAGCTAGACTCCTTGCTTCTAAACGTCGTAGGTGCAGTTGGCTCAGCACTCAGGGCGAGGCACCCAGAGTAGGGAGCATGTGGCAGTTATCGCCGGCCCCGGCGGGTATGATGATTGACGTCGCGGACGAGGAGTGCGCCGATCCCCACCCACCAGTCAAGCGCCGCCGACAGCAGGACTCGGCCTTGGTTCCAAAGGAACCAACGACACGGCTGACCGAGGCGGAGA